TCGCATAGCTTTCAATTCTCTCTCGCGCGCAAGCAGTCCACATAGAGAGGCCAGGCCAAATTCACAAACTTCTCTCTCCTCATTTTGTGATCGCATAGCTTTCAATTCTCTTTCTCTCTCTCTCTCTCTCTCTCTCTCTCTCATGGCCACACAAGGAAGCCTCCTCCTTCAGAAACAACTCAAAGGTACTGCTCAGTTTCTCTGTTTTTTCTCATATAGTCGCGTCTCTGTTTGTGTGTGTGTGTGTTTGATTAGTCGTTAATTGGATTGCAGATCTCTGTAAGCACCCTGTCGATGGATTCTCAGCCGGTTTGGTTGACGAGAGAAACATCTTTGAATGGAGCGTCACCATAATTGGACCGCCCGAGACTCTTTAGTATGCATTCCCAATCATACCCACCTCAATGATTGCGTATTTATTGGATTTGATTGTGTTCTAGGGTCTGTTTCACGTGTGCTTGATGATAGTTGAGTGATTTTATGTGATCTAGGGTTGATATAATGGTCATGCTCTGTTTTTAATTGGTTTTGCAGCTTTTTGCCTTTTCAAATGTGTTTGAATTGGTTGATTTATTGGAGGGCAATTGTAGATTGTTGTTGATCCGATATGGTTGTTTTTGGGATTTTACCCCAATTATGAGTGCTTTTGCTATTAGGGTTAGAAATTTGTCCAAAAGTGGTGCCACTTATCTATTTTATTTGTTTTTTTCTAACACAAAAAGCTTTCTATTTTATTTGTTTTTTGTTTTTTGTTTTTTTTTTTTTTTTTTTTTTTTAAGAGGGGAAAAACCCAAGGAGAATTACAAAGCTTCAGAAAAAACTAAAGGAAATACATCGAAAGGGACTTTTTCCATCCAGATAGATGGTCCAGAACTCTTAAGTGCCTACTGAGCTAGGCTATGGGCAACACGATTGCCCAGGCGAGGAGTATGAGAAACATTCCATTTTAGAAAGCAACGGCCCTTTGCAATAGCGTCTTGAAGAACATGACCGTAGGAGCATAACAATGGATCTGCAGCTTGAAGAGCTCGAATGATGTTGAACGAATCCCCTTCTAAGTGAACATCAAGAATGCCCAGGTCCATAGCAAAATGCACCGCTCGTTGAGCTGCAAAAGCCTCAGCACAATTTGCATCACCCCAGCAATCAATCCTCTCTGACAAAGCCGCAATAACCGCACCGGCATGGTCCTGAATAATAACACCAACTCCAACTGCCATGAGGTGATTGAACACAGCACCATCAAAATTAACTTTGTAAAACCCATCAATTGGAGCGGCCCAACAAACAGGATCCTCAAAGACTGGTGCACTTATGGGTCGATGATTCGCAAGAGAGAAGTCATGTAATAGTTCACACACCCAAAGCACTATATCCTCCGCTGAGCGAACGACTTCATTGAAGACGGCTTGATTGCGAGCGCTCCACAAACCCCAACAAAGCGAAAAAAATAGGCCAAGCCCATATTCATCAACTCTATTGCCAATCACCGAAACCCATTGAGAAAAATCTGTACAATTCCAAGATTGAACTTCAAATCGCAGCGGACTTAATTCCCACACCCGTTTCGCAACATGACAATCACGAACACAGTGCAACAAAGTCTCTGGACAGTTGGGACAGAGTACACAATTTCCAGCCACAGAAACATGCCTACGACGCAACAAATCGGAAGTGGGGGTGATATTCAAAGAAGCTCTCCATGCAAAGAATTTAATTTTGTTCGGAATTCGAAGATACCAAAATTTCTTCCAAAAGTGTTGTTGCTCAAATCCTCCATCCGAAGAGCCGGGATGATTATTTGAGCACATAAGAGCAACTTGTAAATGATAGGCCAATTTTACCGAAAAAAGACCATTCCGAGTGTAATGCCACACTAACGTGTCAGGAGGTAGAACTGGGCATAAAGGAATTTGTTGAATAACCTCAACGTCAATCGGAAGAAACAACTCTTTGCAAAGGTCTAAATTCCAACAACGCCGAACCGGATCAATAATAGAACAGACCATTTGGTGGTCGTCACCTGCTGGAGAAGATATTAACTGAAAAGAGTGTGGCCTAGGAACCCATTTGTCACCCCAAAGATGAACACTTTGCCCGTCCCCTATACGCCATTGAAGACCCGCCCGAAGCAATGGTTTAGCATCAAAAATGCTGCGCCAAGTGAAAGATGGATTAGACCCAATCGAAGACGACAAGAAGTCTGCATGAGGGTAATACTTAGCACGTAGAAGACTGGCCAATAACGAATTAGGAAACTTCATCAAGCGCCAGCCTTGCTTCGCAAGCATGGCTGTGTTAAAAGCTGCCAACTTCCGAAAACCCAATCCACCAACCCACTTTGGTGTACACAAAGCCTCCCAATTCTTCCAATGTATTTTCCTAGTATTGTCAGAATGTCCCCACCAATAGCAACTCACCATGGAATCCATCTCGGAACATAAAGTTTCCGGGATGCGGAAACACGACATAACATAGGTTGGTATGGCCTGAGCAACTACCTGGATCAAAACATGACGACCTGCTGCAGATATGAACTTCTCTTTCCATCCGTTGAGCCGTGACCACAAACGATTTTTGATAAACTGAAACACCTCACGCTTGGTGCGCCCAACAAAATACGGAAGACCCACATATTTGCCGTTCACCACCGTAGTGCCAACATGTAAAACCTGACGAAGTTCCTCTCTTAATTCCGCCCCCACATTAGCACTGAAACTAATAGATGTCTTGCTAAAATTAACCTTCTGACCTGAAGCTAATTCATATTTTTTGAGAATGCGCTCAACCGTCAACACTTCCTCTACAGTCGCATTACCAAATAAGAGGCTGTCATCCGCAAATAGAAGATGTGAAATCTTCGAGTTGCCACGGCATATGCCTATCCCAGTAAGTCTATTATCCAGCTCTGCCTGCCGAATCAACGAAGAAAGACCTTCCGCACAGAGGACAAATAGATAAGGGGACAAAGGACAACCTTGACGTAGGCCACTGCAAGGGCGAAAAGATCTTGTTGGTTTACCATTCAAAAGGATCGAATACGAGACTGTCGAAACACATCGCATAATAGTTTGGACAAACCGGCCATCCATTCCCATCTTTAACATAATCTGACGAAGAAAATCCCATTCGATACGATCATAGGCTTTGCTCATGTCCAATTTTAATGCAAAGTGCCCCGTACGACCATGCTTTTGATTTTTCATGTAATGCAATACTTCAAATGCTGACAAAACATTATCGGTAATAAGACGCCCAGATACAAAGCCACTTTGATTGATGGAGATGACAGAAGGCAACACAAGCTTGAGCCGATTCGCCAGAACCTTACTAATCAGCTTGTAGACAACATTGCACAAACTGATTGGACGAAAGTCAGACACTCTTTTCGGATTCGGAACCTTCAGAATTAACACAATAAAAGTGTCATTAATAATGTTCATAGGCTCGTGTCGGTTAAGAATTCCCAAAACAGCCCCAGTTACTTGTGACCCAATATTCGGCCAAAAACGTTGATAGAACAACGCATGTTTACCATCCGGGCCCGGCGCCTTTGTGGGATGCATTTGAGCTAAAGCCGTGTCCACCTCGGCAGATGTGAATTCACCACCCAACATTCTATTTAAATCATCGGATACCCGCGACGTAGTAGTGTCAAGAACATCTTGAATACCCTGAGGGGTGTCCGAAGTGAAGAGGCTTTCGAAATAGTGCACAGCGATATCCTCCATTCGACGTAAATCGGTACACCATAGTGATTGCTCATTTTCCAAACCTATAATCAATTTCTTTTTATGCCGCTGGTTTGCTTTGGCATGAAAAAAAGAAGTATTGCGATCGCCATCTTTTAACCAATTGGCACGAGAGCGTTGACACCAAAATATTTCCTCTCTATGTAGAAGTTCGTCAACATGTCGACGAAGAGCAAAAAAAGAAACCCATTCCGATTCGGACATGGAAGTTAGGCCCTCTAGTCTTTGAAGCTCCTTAATCTTATCACTAATGGTATTCTGAAAGGCGCCAAATTTCCAACGGCCCCACGTCGATAACCGGGCTCCAATGACGTCAAGGTTTGATCGAATACCTTCCATTGTAGGTGTCGGTTGCTGTAGCCAATTTTGAAGGACAATAGATTCACATTTATTTGTTTGATTGCCAATTTTGTAGGTTTTTTATTTCTTTATTTATTTATTTTTACTGTGCATATCCAATTTTAATCAGTTCAGGTACCTTTGGTACTTTGCTCGAATATGTTCTCGGCCTTGTCTGTGTATTGCCTGAATGTGTTCTAGTTCTAGGGTCTGTTTCATATGTGGTTGATGATAATTTGGGTGATTTTGTTTGTTATGATGTAATCTAGGGTTTGATATAATGATCATGCTTGCTAGGTTTATAATTGGTTTTGCAGCTTTTTGCTTTTTCACATGTGTTTGAATTGGTTGATTTGTTGGGCAATTGTAGATTGTTGTTGATCTAGTATGGTTGTTTTTTGAGTTTTTGCGCCAATCACGAGTGGGTATGATCTTAAAATTTGAGTTTTTTGCTATTAGCGTTAGAAATTTGATTTTGATTTTCAATTTTGTAAATTTGTTGTTGTTGTTGTTATTGTTTGACTGTGTATTTCCAATTTTTATCAGTTAAGTAGTATTCACCATGAGTTGTTTAGGAGTACCCCACTTATTTGTTGGTTTGGAAGTTGGTGCTTTGCTTGAATTTGTTTTGGGCTTGTGTGCATATGCATGATTGTGTCCTAGTGTCACTTTCATATGTGGTTGATGATAATGGGTGCTTCCGTTTGATATGATGTGATCTAGGGTCAATATAATGGTCATGCCCTGTTTATAATTGGTTTTGCAGCTTTTCGCTTTTTCATGTGTTTGAAAATTGTTTGATTTGTTGGGCAATTGTAGATTGTTGTTGATGTGATTTGGTTTTTTAGGTTTACCCCAATTTTGAGTGGGTATGATCATAAAATTTGTGTTTTTGCTATTAGGATTAGAAATTGTCCAAAAGTATTTTCTATTTTATTTGTTTGATTTCCAATTTTGTATTTTGTTATACTTTTTTGTTTGACTCTGCATGCCCAATTTTTATCAGTTCAATTGGTATTCATCATTAGTTGTGTAAGAGTACCCCACCTATTTGTTGGTTTGCAAGTTGGTACTTTGCTCAAACTTGTTTTGGGGCTTGTGTGTGTTTGCATGATTTTGTTTGCATCATGTACTCAGTAGTTAATTCTTCTCTATGCCATGGAAGTAATTTCTTCTAGTTGTAGTATGACAGCTCATATTTCGCATAGGGTATCTCCCTTTAAATTTCTGGCTGTAATCAAATTTTGAGTTGCCCACTCAATTGAAATTCTGTTAAATACCTTTAGGATGAACTGTTTCCTGACCTTTTCTTGCACTTACAAATTACCTAATGGCAGTGATGGAGGATATTTCAATGCCATCATGAGTTTTCCATCTAATTACCCAAATAGCCCACCAACGGTGAAGTTTATTTCAAAGATTTGGCATCCCAATGGTTAGTCACTGTTTACTATTGCATGTTTTTCATTACTGACATTAGAATGCTGTTTGAAACTGATTTTGATTGCTGAACAATACAGTTTATACTGATGGGCTGGTTTGCATATCAATTCTCCATCCTCCTGGTGAGGACCCGAATGGCTATGAGCTTGCAAGTGAACGCTGGTCGCCTGTACATACTGTATGTCAGAATATGTTATATTGTGTTCCCTCTTTCCGGATCTAAAAAAATCTATATATAAAAAAAGAAGTTTGGTGTGTGTCGGACACATGTTGCGTCGGTGCCTGACATGGATGCACTATTGTGCTTCTTATTATGATGCTTTAGTATTGTCAGTGTGCTCACACTGCACACTCACAAACACGTGTGTGTATATATATAGAGTGAGGCAGAGAGAGAGGTTTTCTTTGTCCTTTATATTTTATGACTATATTAGAAGTTTAACTACTTTTGAAATGATGTAATAGGTTGAAAGTATAGTTTTGAGTATCATTTCAATGCTTTCCAGTCCAAATGATGAATCTCCAGCAAACATAGAAGCAGCGGTAAGTGTCTTTTGGTTGTATTCAGATTTTCCTTTTTTTTTTTTGCCTTTCCCTTTTTTCTTTCTCTTTTTTTCAAAGTCAGTTATTACCCTTTCTTTATCTTATAATATATATATACTAGCAGATGACGTGTGCATAAAGACACTCCAACGCAATTTTGACTAACTAAAATGACATTCCCTAACCGTAATGCAAATTAAAGAGCAAACATATAAAATTCCTATTTTGATTATGAAAAAAAAAATTAAAAACTAACATAAAGAAATTTGACAAAAATGACACAATAAAGAGTGTAAAAAATTCTTGCCACCATGTAGCCTATTAATGTTTTCCACACCTCATATCCAATTAAATATCCAATGAATGAATCCTATAATGTAAGGGGGAAATGCTTTTCCATCAAATATCCTTCTCCCACAATTAACCAAAGGTTAGACACTTTTTATATATCTCTTACTAATCATCAACCAAAATCGAAGGAAAACCCTGATTTTAATTTAAAAGCACATATGAAATACACAAAACATCGTCATCATCATTCATCATTATTATTATTATGCATGAAACTTCTTATTATTATCATGAGACTTAATATCACAAAAGTTCTAAATCCAAACATTGCCCGTGTAAACCAAGAAGTTCTCAGTGAAACATTGACTCCTTGAAACTATCTAAATTTGAGTTTATTTCTTAACACAAAACATTATTATTAGTGCTTATCAAAAAGCAAATATATCAACAGTAGCATACTTATTCAAGTGGAAGTTTCTATGTTAAAATAGACAATCTAATGCTTCCAAAACAGAGCCATCAAAGACCCAACACTCATCAAAGACCAAATAAGTAACGGATCAAAACATAATAGCTTTGTGAAAAAATTTATGAGTAATCAAAGAGATGGAATAGGGAGAAAAATGTGTGAGAGAATTTCATACCTTTGATAATATCAAAAACTCATAAATTGATGATGTGCAGCAAAAGAATCAAACACAACACCACATGAAAATGGCAAAAAATTAAAAGAACTAATGCTTGAATTTAATAATTATAGGGAGAAAGGAAGAGCAACTATAGAACAAATTTAATCAAAAAACTTAACCATGAAGTCAAAAGTTGTCTACCATGGTTATATCAAAAACCTGAAAATCAATGATCAAGAACAATGAATTCTAACATCAAAAAAATTGCTTCAGTGACACCAAATGGATCCCCAATTGTTGTACACCTTCATTTGAGTAATCATTGTGCAACCCTCATGTAAACAAACAAACTTATCATATTCTAACATCATTTTATCTATACCTCCCAACTCACATTACCATGGGAAGAGTGCATAATTATTTGACATCATATTGTTAACAAATTTAATATTACAATTTACAACCACTAATTATTTTCCAAAGGCATATAAATGTTTATTATTTTCTTATTGTGGGTGACTGTAAATGGAGAACCCAATAGAAAACTACAAATTGTTAACAAATCTAGAATGAATCCACTAATAAACCTAAAAGGAGAAAAATTCACCTTTGCCCAAAAGACCTGTTACGCATTTTCAAATCTAAAATTATCATTCCCTTTTGGAGACCATAAAAAAAATAAAAATAAATTGTAATAAGTTTTAAAAAATAAACAACACTGAAGTATTTAAAGATAAGAACCCATCAACAAAATCTGATTATATCACCTATAAGCAGTTAATCAGACAAAACCCTTTTATAACTACTATCTTTTTCAATAAAAATATTTATGTTCAAATTAAGCAAAAAGAGATGGGATGTATCATGTAATTGTTATTTCTTCAAGGGCAAGATAACAAAACTTAAAAGCCTAAATAATTTATCCTAAATGGGGGATGAGATGAGCAAGCCCACTATTCAAAAGTCTCTCACGATGAATCACCACTTTTTTTAGCAATTCTAAGAATCATTTAATCTGATTCAAAATTTATGTTCTACAACACACAGAAGAAAAATGAAATAAGAAAAGATATAAAGAACACTTCATTAAATAAGTAATAAATTTCAAATCAAGCACCCCATTCGAAATAACATGCCATTAATGCTTCTTCAAGCTTTTCCCCTTCTAATTAAGCGTAAAGTCCATTATTTCATACAATTAAACACTTTTAAGTTATCTAAAATCATTTAAAAAAATTATGAAACCATATTCTGAATTTTTGAAATCATATTCAGAAATCTAGGGCTTTTCTGAAATCATATTGAATTTTTGGGTATAACCAGGGCTTTGATTTCTCTTTGTACAACCCAAATCAAGGCTTAATGTGGAAAGAGATGAACAAACAAACACACACTTTAAGTTACCTTTTACTGAATCAAAAAAAAAATTCTGAAATCATATTCTGATTTCAAAAATTGAGGGCTTTTCTGAAATCATATTTTGATATTTTGGGGTATAACTCCCAGTCCCAGATATAAATCTAGGGTTTTGATTTCTTTTTGTACAACCCAAATCAGGGATTAATGTGAAAAATACAGAAACAAACAACAAAACGTGGAAAGAGACAAACCTAGTGATAGATGGTGAGCTTTCATCGCTTATTATGTTCTTTGCGGAGAGAGTGAAAGCTCGGGTCTGAAAGAGAGAGAGGGTGTGTGTGTGTGTGTGTGTGTGTGTGTGAGAGAGAGAGAGAGAATGGCTGTAAAAGTGAAGGGAGAGGCGTTGAGAGAAGAATATGGACAGATGAGGAGGTGGAAAAATGATAGTATGAAATGAGATAGAAAAGGAAATGGGCGGGATCTAAAACATTGGAAAAACGGTCTCAGCCGTTCAAGGTTTATTCAAAACAATCCCAGCCATTCTATCCAATTATAAGAGACGCACATTTTCAAACACCTTTATGTTTTATTATATAGATATATAATTACATTACTGCATCAACAATGAATGTCTGGATTTCCTTAATCTTTTTGTTGCATGCTATAGTATTTTGATATCTGTTTTGTTAAGGTTTATGGGTGACATGCATATAACTTGGACTTTTTGGGGTGTCCTAAATAAGTGTTTGGGGTTGTTTGGAGTGTTCTAAATAAGTGTACTTTTTGTCTTTTTGGACTAAAAAATTGAGGAAAAAAATATGAATGTTTGGGTTAACTTTTTGACTTTTTTATGAAAAAATGTGTATTAAAAAATTGTATAAATTAGTGTGTAGGGGAAAATTAGGATTGAGAGTTGTGCAGCCTTAATTTTTTACTTTTGGTGAATAGTGATAACTTTTTGGTTTTTTGGCTTTTTGACAACTTGCCAAACTTGGCCTACATTGATGGATACTAGATAAAAATTATGCTCTGTTCTTTTCTCTTATTTTTTGGTCAGAAAATGTATTTGCACAAGTGATAAGTGTATTTGCAATAAATAATTGTGTTTTATGTGCCCTATAGTGTGTTTGGTTAACTAAATCTTTATATAGGTAAAGCTCAAACTTAATCTGTTTACATGGGTTGATAATTTGCTCACCCATGACCAAATCTCCCGTGCTCAAAATGGCAAGTTCATCAAGTCTTTTGGTGGTTTCAAACCTGTGGTTTGGGCTGGTAGAGTGGGTGGGGAAATTTTTTTCCAAAAAAGAAATACACAATGGGAAAAAAAAAATCAGTTTACATACATACAACTCATAATTATTCTTTCGCTATTTCAATAAAATTTTATTATCAATTCTGAATCCCAACACCAATCAAAGGAAAGAAAATAGGGCAAATTACTATACAGAGGGTATTTTCAAAAATTATTACAAAATAATGAAAATATTATGATTTTAATTATTAATATTTATAATGTTTTATCATGTTTTTGTATTTTTTTTTTTTTCTGTAACCCTCTAACATGTAATTGTCCCAAGAAAATACTAACAAATCTAAGAAAAAAGGCCACAGTGAAGGGGTAGTGAGAGAAGTGGGAAATGGGGGAAATACAAAGTGAATTAAGATCTTTATATATATATACCATGAATATGACAAAGGTAGGATCCGACCAAACCTTCAGTAGGCTTCATAGCTTCAAGGCATCATCATCCCATTCCAGAAGGAAAAGATGCATGGTGAACTATGTATCTCTGAATTGAGGATCTGAAACAAATAGCACAACAAAAGCACTCAAATCCATTATCAAAATGTAGGTGGTCTAACAACGTAACTCAGTTTGAAAAGTGGTTTCAAAGATGAGAACCAAAAGAGAATTGAAAAGAAAAAGGAGGCCACGGAGTTTCAGGATGAGAAGTGATAGGGGTGGTCGTTGGAGGTGGAGGAAGGATTGGGTTGTTGGGGCTGGGAGTTGGGGGGCTGCACATGGATTACAGAGGAAGAGGGGAGAGATGGGAATGAGGGTAGTATGTTAGATTAAGGTTAAGTTGGGGAGTGTGGATTAGGTGGGGGCTTCACCAAATTTGAATACATTCTAAGAAGCATGGATATGGACAAAGATACGAACACAAGTGCGGATATGGAAAAACAATTTTTAAAAAATTAAGATACAAGCACGGCAGGATGTAATATGTATTTATATTTGTTATGTATATGATATAATTTTATGGCACAAAGAAATAAGAGCCATCAATATATATATATATGGGTATATTTTATGATTTTTTCTACTTTCCCCTGCATTGTGTGTTATGTATTTTACTTGACTCCAAATCAACTTTTTAAAATTATTATTTAAAAAAACCTACAAAAGTTTCTTGAGGTGTGTTTAAACACAAGACATGTATGTTCATGAAGTGTCCTGAAAAAAAATAGTTATTAAAATTTTTTACACGACACATGGTGTGTCCAACATGTGAACGTGTACGCAGCGTGTCAATGTCTGATATGTGTCGGACACAAACATGACACCCATTTTGGAGTGTCTGTGCTTTCTAGGATACATATAAAGGTATATTGGGGTTTCATGTCAGTTTATTGGCGTGTTGGATGGTTTAAAATTGTATGTGAAACCAATTCGCTAAATTAAGCATGAAACCCACCCAACCCGCACCACCTACGCTCCCAAACCTCATGGGTTGGTACTGATCGGGACAGGGCGGGGTGGCATGTTGGGCAGTTTTTGGGACACCACTAGTTTACAGGAAACCACCACAAGGAGGGTCAATGATTTTTAACTCTTCAAACCCTAACGTGAAGTAACATAGTGCATATCCCTTGTAGGACAAGGATGCAACACTATTAAAACAAATGCTGCTGAGTAGTGAGTGTCAACACATGACTGAATAGTGGATGGTTGGGTTGGGAAGAACTGTTGAATCTGGAACCTTTGCATTACCCTTCTTTCAATTGAATAATCATGCTGGTATATATTAAAACAATGCAAAGCAGTTTGTTAGTAACATAGTGTGCTTTGCTAAAGAGAATGTCTTATTTCTCCTCTGTTTTACTAGTTCTTTTTTTTTTTCCTAAACTAAATAAATTGGTATAAGCGTACTTCTGTAATTGTGTTCTATTTGAATGTTCAATTTTTGAACTTCGAATCCTTATTGGATTCATCTATCAACTTTGGCACATTTCTTTCAATTTTAAGAAGGGCATTGGTACCCAACTGGAAAGGTGTGTTGGAAGAGAATTATTATATGAGCGTTTTTTTTGTTTGCTTTATGTAAATTGCAGAAGGAATGGCGAGAGAGGAGGGATGACTTCAAGAAAAAAGTTAGCCGCTGTGTGAGACGGACACAAGAAATGTTCTGATATGCTTCCATCTTCTCGTGGGTATCGGGGAGTGTCTATTTATTGTGTGGGAGGACTGGTTCAACATGTGTTTATTGATTCATAATAGAATCCCGGTTGAAGCTCTTGCACCCAGTGTTTTATTTTTTGTTACATCAAGCTATTCTCATAAAACACATTTCTGTATTCAGGGGCCTTTGTATAAGAGTTCATTGCCACCTCTTGTTGTTCTCCTATATACTTAGGTAGTTCTTTGTGGCTTGTTCTCTCTCTCTCTCTCTCTTCTTTACTGCTCCCGTTTTTTTTCTTTTGTCTTTTTCTTTTTTTTCAATTATTACTCGAATCTGTGTTTGTTTGGTTAAGCTGTAAAGGTATATATAAATTGTTCATGTAGCTGGAATTGTTTTTGATTGGATTAGGCTTCTCCCATGTCTAACTAAGATTGAATTCTACAGAAGTTGTATTCTGGATTACATATATTGTGCAATGATAAATGTTTTAAGTCCTGTTTGGACGTTTCTTTATTAGGCCGAGTCTTTATCAGTATACAATTTCACATATTCTCGAGTCAAGCTATTTAGGTAACTTAGGTAAACAGAGGAATTCTCCACATTTGAGTCTAGGGTTCTCTCTCTCTCTCTCTCCCTCTGTGGCTGGATAGTAGGTGAAGTGCTGAGCTTCTGACCACGATTGGGAGAATCTATATAAGGGCTGCACCTCTTTTAGAAGGGGAAGGAGAGGGTAGAAGTAAAAGCAGGTCCACTGGCGGATAGTGAACGGCCAGGATTAGACCACCCTAGAAGAGATTGGGCCTCTGCTGAAATCATCAGTATCGGACAGTTCGGAGCTAGGAAAATCAGGGGCTTTTACATGAGGGTCGCAGTTGATTGATAGGACCAATATCTGCAGAAGAGGAGGGTAAAATATGAGTTTGAAAGGACAGGCCCAGTTCAGAGTGCAATTTATTGGTAGCATAGGTGGCTTGAGAAGGTAGTAGAGACGGAAGCAAGAAATGAGTCTACATGTCATGAGGGGCACATGTTCGTGTCTATAGTTCTAAATACATAATACACCGAGGATGTGACACATGTTCGTGTCTATAGTTCTGTACATTGCATTTACAGATGCAAAAATTTTTTGCCTTACATTGGTGCATTTTGTATTTCTAGACTTCTTCAACCGTGAGATATATGATTGGCCCAGAAGACGCAACAGTGAGGCCAGAAGAAGAAAGATGCAACAATGGTTTGATTACCATGTTCTTTATTTAAAAAGATCATGTAACACTTTGCTTCTTCTTAATGGGCAAACACGATAGTCAACAGGTTGTTTGGTGGAACTCATTTCAGTTGGCTTATAGCCTCATCTTTTTTTTGTTTTTAGTTCTGAGAAGATGTGCTAGACGATTTGATATAATTTTTATTCACAAATTTTTAGATAAAGACAACTTAAATAAATTTTAAAAAAATATATAAGAAAAGAATATTTTTAATTTCTATTTTTAATTTAAAATAAATTGCGTCAAACATATCTCACATAGTAATTTCAACTGCTTTTATTTGTAAGTCTCGTCACCAAAAAGATGTCACCCATCCATATTAATATATCCAAAATTATACATAAATGTAACTTTTCTTTTTTTATTTTGTTTTATATTTTAGAATTTATAGATCCTATTCATTCATGTCAAACAAAATATTTATTAAAATAATTTATTATTTTAGAAACGTTGTTGTCACAATATATATGTTGAGCAATAATGGTAGGAATATTACCTAGTGTACCAACTAACATACTAATAAGTAAGGTTGTTAAAATTAGGATCCTAAGTAAGTTTGTTGGGAGGGATTTGTGAATCGAATTGTAAAATCAGATAAAAAATCGTAATAGTTTCCAAAAATGGAAATTAGGGGCATTAGGGGCAAATTTTTTAGGGCCACCAATCATTTTCCTTATTCATAATGGTAATGTATTTTTAACAATTTTAAAATTATTAAAGAAAAATGATAAATTTGATATAATGCATTTTTTATGTTAATATAAATTAGATGAGATGTTTGGAGAAAGAGTTTATAATCAAATTTTTTATGTAAATACACATATATACATACATATATGGAAAATAAATAATAATAATAATAATTGTTTAGTAGGATTGGAATCGTAGTGCAATTCTACATGATTTTATACCGAGGATCATATCTCGTAATCACTTTTAAATTCTACTGAATTTAAGGTTTTAGTGCAACCCGGATCGTTTAGCCTAACTAAAGTTATAGAATCTAGATCGGGATTCTGATAACCATACTAATAAAATACAATGTTAGGTAGAACCTATGATAAGTGGCAGAATCCACTTGTATTTCTTGTGTCTTGATTAATGTATTAGTTGACACTCAAATTAGTACTCTTATGTATCATCTCCTTCTATCTTAGTACACGCCAAATCCCATTTAACTTTTCTATTTTTTTTGCTCTATCTACATCATTAATTTGTAAATAATACTAAAATATCCCTATCTTCTTTAATTTCTAACCCTAACTTTAACTCTAATTTTTACCACCCACTGCCATCCCGTCATCAGCCCCTTTCCACTGCCATATCAATGTCACTGATCACTAGCCTTTCCTTCCGCCATTCTGCAATCACCCGCTTCAAGCTTGTCGCCCTTTCTATATCCTTCACCGCCAACCTCTTCCTAGCCACTATTGCAACTCTTCACCTATGATCCACTGCCTCTGAAATACCTTTCCATCCTCATGACATCAGGGACAAACGCAAGATTCTAATATCAAGGGGAGGCGAGTGTATATGCAATCAAAAAATTTGTAATGAGCATGTAATATACAATATCAATTTCTACCTAGATATCATAAAAATATATAATTAGATATTTCCATTCATTGTATATAATTACAAAATATTATCAAAATACAATTGAATATGTTCTAGTAAATCCATATTAATTTTCAAAAAAGTAACTATTTGCTTTACATATCTACTTAGGCATCTAAAATTGTGTTCGATGTTCTTTCATAATATAAAAAGCATCTATGATGGAATCTACATCAAAATCTCAAGTAATGTCTTTGTCAACATATGTTAACAAGTAGCTTGAAAGAAAATTATCCTCCATCTTGTTGCGCAATTCAGTCTTTGCAATTTTTATGACCGAAAATGCACGTTCTGTTGCCGCCGTAGAAACTGAAGAAAATGCATCATTGACCACGAATATTTTGTACGTTCTGCGAGTTCTTTTCCAAGATTTCGTATCATTTACATAGAGAGAGTAAAGTGGAGAAGGGAGCTTAAACAATTAGGTTAATAAGAATTTGGAGACATTTTCAAGCGTGTGGCAGGTTACACGTGAGTAATATTTTTATTTATTTTTATTTAATTATACCAAACAATTAAAAAACTTGGGCCCCAATAAGACAAAAAAGATTTTGACATATTAACAAATAAATTCTCAATTATTTTAACATTACTAAATTAAAAATAAAAGTAATTATATTAAAAAAATAAATTGTTATTATTATTATTATTATTATTAGTATTTATCAAAAAAATAATTAATTTTTTAAATTTTAAAGTAAAAAATTTAAGGGGTGGCGATTCTTAAATTTTTTGTAAAAATTTTAAAGTAACCAACTTATATAATTTAAAATATTTATAATTTATTATATCTAGAGAGTTTTTTCAAAAAAAAAAAATTGGTTGGGGGCACCAAGGATCCTCTAGAGTGAAATTTCCCTAAAGTTTCCTAAAGTGCTCCATTGTGTGATTGAGATTCACTGGCAAGTCACATCAGAAAAATTGATGTGACTTGCCAATAAATCTCAACCACACAATGGAGCACTCTAAAAAACTTTAAGAAAAAATCACTCTAGAGGATTCTTGCTTGAGGGGTTGTTTGGACATACCACCACTCTAGCTCCTACCCCGCGCGTCTCACCCCATTGTGAGAAGTTATTAATTTAAAGAAGAAAAAGAAAAAGAAGAGTAGGCTATGCTAGGGTGGTAACAGTAGCCCTCTCAACTTGAAACCTAAGAAAAATAGACTAAAAAAGGACGAGGAATGAAAAAGTTGGAAGGAGAAGGAATGGATAGATCATAGATGTAACAGATCAAAATTTTTAGATTTCGCACTCAGATTCTTACTTTTAAACTTAATTATTTTAATGATAAAAAATATTTGATAACTCGAATGTGTGTGACTCGAATGACTCAAATATATCTAAACGACGTCATTGTCGTTTTGTGACATTTAAACCGTTCAGGTTATAAAAATTCGAATTAGCAAGTATTATTATCTAATAATACAATTTTATACTTTACAATAAATTTAACAATTTTATCCTACCTACCACTATACTTTACACTACCCAATCAATGCTCCTTAAAATTATTTATATTAAACAAATATAATCAATCAATGCTCCTTCAAACATTTAAATTAAACAAATATATAATCAAGTGGGCCAATTTTACTATCCTGCCATCCCTACTTGGTGGTAACGTTAACATCCGAAAGTTAGTGCTCTATATCCATTACCACACCAATAATTTGAAGTATCCAAAATTTATCTTATAAATTTGAAGTATCCAATAATTTGAATCATGTGATTGTAGTCACTAATTTCCCTTCCAATGTTCTTCGTGAAGTGATTTTAAGGCATACTGCCCATGCTTTGTTGATGTGGTATGTGTTTTGTGGTAGCATGTTTTGTAATGTGGAAACTGTAATGTGGATTTCGTAAAGTGTAATGTGGATTTTGTAATGTAAACTTCAACTATATCGCTGATGTTGGGGGACATATTGATGTTGGGTAACATTTTCAAGTGTGTCATTTGTGTTGTATTTTGAATCATGTGATTGTAGTCACTAATTTCCCTCCCAATGTTCTTCGCGAAGTGATTTTAGGGCATACTGCCCATGCTTTGTTGATGTGGTATGTGTTTTGTGGTAGCGTGTTCTGTAATGTGGATTTTGTGCAGGAATTGTGAAGGGAATATTACGTGTGACGGTTTGCATTTTAGTGATAGTGTCGCGGTTGTGGTTTAACACTACATATTGTACTAGTTGGTGTGAATGTTATAATGTTGCCAAGTGTTGTTTTGGTTATAATATCTGATGGTTGAATAGAGAGTTGTGATAAATGGGCGGTGTTAATTCTAAGGTTGGGAATATTAATTTTGTGACGTTGGTTTGGTAATGTTGTAGTGATTGAGTAAGTGTTTGGGAACATTGATTCACATATGTTTGTTATTGTGCATGCATAGGCCCCCATATGTTTGTCTTTGAATGAAATGTAAATGGGGAAAAATGGTTGCAGTGTTGGTGTGTTTTGTTCTGGCATAATCCAGTCGTCACGTTGTTGATAACCTATTTTTGTTTAATTTGGAATG